TAGTACATATATATACTCAAGTATCTTGGGATGTTCAGTCGATGTGGGATTGAGTTCCCACATAAAAAATACTCTTTTAGTTAAAATATTTTAACAAGAGATTTATCTCTCATCAATACTTTAGTTACGGCGTAGATAGTTTGTCTTTGACTAGACTGAGAAGGGGATTAATCGAAATATATGTAAGTTGACCCGAACACTCTTAACCGTTAGAATATAAAAAAGGTATTCTAGAAAGGTGGACTAAAGGACAATTTTCTGGCTCATTTAATATTAAAATAAAATTTGGCTAACCTTACTAGTTCATGAACAAAAATTTGAATCAAATCTAAAGTGGCTTGTCATACAAAAAAGGATTTGTCCCCATGTGATGTGTTGATAACATGCTTAAGAGAGGTGGTTGGTTGTAGGCCGTAGGATTGGGATTCCCATTTTAATCAATTTGGATCTTGTCTATTAACTTTTTTTCCCCTCAATTTCTATCAGTAATAGATCACTTATCATAAATTTAAGTAGGAATGGGACCTGCTTTATATAAATGAGTCCCTTATTAATACACTAGTTATAACTTCTGCCTGAAAACACAATGAAATATAGAATTCGAATATTTTAAAAATTGATCACACTATACCAAATAACTAATTTTTATTTCTTTGTTTCTTTCATTACATCATTTAAAATTAATTTTTACCTATTATTTTTTTTAAAATAAAGTCAAAATTTTCTCAAAATGTATAACTCGACAAAATATTTTCAACACATGTATACTATCATGTATGAACAATGTATAAAATAAAAATTGTGTTAAATTACAAATTAATTAAATGTTAAATGATTAAACATGTGATAGAATTGAATGATGTGATATTTTTAGGGGAAAAATGTATAGGGGATAAATTTTCAAACTCATATGTATTTTATCATATAGATTGTGTGTGATCTACTATTGAAGAAAAATACATAAAGAATCTTAATACCTTTTATTCTGGATGTCAATTGGGTCATGTTATATCATGTTCAAATCTTGTCGTTTCAAGTTCGTATTATCTTCATTTCATGTCACTCTTGTTGAAAAACCATAGGACTAGATTTTCATTTTTTCCAACTAAATACATGAACCATTGTTCCCCATAAATTAAAAACATAAATGATTCACATTTTACTAAATTGAATTAACAATATTTAAATTCTAAAATAATTCTTATATAATACAAGATCAAGAAATAAAATTACTAGATATCTTCTTAATATAATATCAATTAAATACTACATATGGTATCAAAATATGATTACCAGTAGAGGAAGCTAAATTGACTTATTTATTGTTTATGTTATGTAATCGTGTTATTTTAATTAATATAAGCCTAAAGACATTTTTCTTAATCAGTTATGAGTCTACAATTCATATTGATAACATACATCTTATTGTTTCTCCTTTGTTATCCACAAAAGTTGGGCGTTTAGGGATAAGAAGAAATAAATTTTGGTAGAGAAATTTACGATAACTGAAGATTGTTTAAACACCCAAAAACATTGAGATAGTCCTCAAATGTCTTGTTATCATCGGTCATAAAATTCACAATATACACAAATATTGTGTTCCCCTCGTTTTATCCAGCAAAAAGAACGACCTACGTAAATAGTAATGCCAGATTTGTTGATAGCTCATGAAATTGTCCTGTTTCTTTTGTTTTTTGGCAATTGAATACCCAGGCCAAAATGATTTTGTGCTACATCGGTTCACTTTGTGTCTATATGACTGTGCGGATAACATATTTTATAGTTGTCCAGATGGAAGAAAACTATAAAAATAAGACTAAACAAAATAAGTCCCGAGATGAACATCTTATGTTGACCATTTCTCAATATCGTACTTTACAATGTATTCAATTTATAGTTACACATAAATATATTTTCATACAACAAGATCTTCTTAAACTCATTGTAAAATAAACCAAACATAGCAAATATATTTTTATACGGCAAAATCATTTTAAACTCGTTCGAAAAGAAATTAGTCATAACAAATATATTTTCAGATTTTCTTAAATTCATTCCAAAAGAAATCAGTCATAACTCTAAGAGTGAGAGTGTAATAGTAACATCCTAAGTTACAAAAAAATAAAACAACCATAGCAATTGGAGTTTTAAGAGTAAGATCTTAAATTCTAAAAAAAAACAAATCATAACGACAGGATTCTCCCTTCCTAGAGAGCTTTAGGTCTTCAACCTGTTTCACGAGTTTTTTTGTAGTAGCATGAACTTTTCAAATATCAACTTTTCACTTATCGCTACAATCATTCCTCAAGCATTTCAATATGTGTCAAGCCATCCATTGTTGGGGGCATACACACATTTTCTTACCCCTTTCAATATTGATTTCTTAATAGACTTGTATTCGTTCACTCAATTCAAATTTTCTTTCTACACCAAGTCTTTTAAAGACTCCAATTGTTTCAACATGTCAGTTTGAAAGTCAGTCACATCAATTCTCAACGCACTATATATTAAATTTTTGGCACTGACGTATAAGAACACGTACTACAACACAGATCTTTATTCTCAACCAATCAAAAGTTTTGTCAAAAGTTTCCATTGTTTTATTTGACAAAAGATAATGCAATTGATAAGTTGCTATAAAAATCTCAATTTCAACTTACAACATATATTTGTGACTTTAAATCCATAACCTAAAATATGCGTCCTCATTTAAGAAATGAGTATGTTCACTATTCTTCAGGATTAAAGGTGGCCCAATACAAATCGAGGCCTAAAGCAAGACCTCATTTAATATTTTAGGAAGATAATAATTTTTTTAACGATTATTTGACATTTTACATAGAGTTGCATTATGATTTATTTTCAATACTTTAGTAGTTTTGGGATCGATGCAAGATTAGACAATAAATTGGATGTAATTGTGATATCAGGATTTTATATATGAATAAATTGAATGAAGTATTAAAAAAACAACAAGAGAGCTAGAGATAAAGAAAAGAACCAGAGTAAGATAATGAGAGTGGAAAGGGAGAGAAAAAGTTGGAGGGAGGCAATGAGAGTGGAGAAAAAAACAGTGGAAAGAATTTGAGAGAAATGACTATTTTTAAAGCTAGAAATAGCTATTTTTAGATCTTTTTAGAAGATTTTATTGTATTTTAGGACTTTATATAATGCTTTACATAGACTTATGAAAAAATTATTGTACTTTAAAACTTTCTATAAAATTTTAGATAGACTTATGAAATAAATTGGGTATTCAAACGAGATCTTAGAGCATGAAGGTGAACTGAGGGTACAAATTAAATTGGGGGCCTGGGCGACTATTTTTATGGTCGGGTCTTAGGGTCAGTCTTGCTATGCGTCCTCCCATTCAAAGGATCGAAGTGTTTGTGCATCTCGCAACAATGATAATCTCTGCTCGTCTCTTATTGTTGAGTCTTTGTCCATGAAACTAATTTCTGAGACAAATTGGTTACTAAATGATACAGAAGGATTAAATATAATATATGTGTTACTCTATATTTTATGTATTTTTTTAATTTATCAAAACTTATGTGTAGACCGTTACAAGGTATTATCATAGAAAAGATGTTCGAGGTTACAACGTAGTATCACATAGTTTTTCTTTTTTAGCAATTTAGGCATTTAATATATATTAAATATTACATATATATTATTTTATACTCATGTTATCGGCGTACAATTGTTTAATAGTACAATCCATAAGAATTGTAAATATACATAGATTATCATGGCTAAGTATACATTTTTTAACACATAGATTTGCATTCATAATTTATTATTATCTTGTTATTGAATTATTTTATTATTTTTTTATGATCCTTAACTTGTCTATGATTGTAACGTTCACATATTATTTTGTTGTGTTTTATTTTATCTAATAACAAATTTATTGATTTTTTTTATATTAATTAATTTTTATTGTGGGTCTTTTATAATAATGAGCAATTTAATTAGTTGGTGTTTTGTATTTAAATGAGAACAAAGTTGAGTTTGAGAGAAGTAGAAATGTGTTTTATTTATTTTTATGTGTGGAAGAGAAAGATGATTATTATACTTTTTTATTGAAGTATTAATCATTTTTATGTCATTTAATAAATGTGTATTTGTAAGATAGACCGCACTTTTAGAGCTACATTCTAAATTTTATTTTGTTGACTTAAAATTTTCGGAGTTTTTTTGTTAAGCTAAATTATAATGAGTTTTAATATTTGATTTAAACTTCATTATTAAACTCTAAAATTTAGGCCCTAAAACCCATATTTTTTTGGTTTTATTGTTGAGTCGACCATGGTCACTTATTCACGTAGGTAGCAGAGAGTCGACCATCGGAGCTTCTCTCTAGACTTTGACTTNTTGACTGGGAAATTTAGCTCTATAGGTTAAATGAATTGGGGATGAGGGCAATGTATTGTGTAATCTCAGAGCTTTATCATTAGACTTGTTGTATCTTATGGCAGAACAATTGCCTTGTCAATGTTCAAACCTAGGTATGTTAGATGATACTTGAATGGATACGTGTTTATGCCTGTGTTGTTCCATTCCTTCCAAATTGTGTCACTGTTATTGATCTTCTTCTGTAGCTTATATTTATATCAGAACATGACATCTTTGACAGAACTCTCTGGTGTGGATTTGTTTGTGGCCGATCTCAAAGCCTTGGACGCATATGTTAGCTATTTCTACTATCTGTCTAAGATGTGGACAAGGCCCCTTCCTGAGGTCTATGATCCACAAGAAGTTGCTGACTATTTCAGTCGCNGTCTGCATATAATATTTTAAAAATATAAGAAGTTTAGGTGATTAACCGACAAATGTAAGAAGGTCTGGTGTAATTTTCCCATTTTACAATTGCGTCACGTGTTCCTCCTGCCGCCTAATCACCACCNTCTTTGACAGAACTCTCTGGTGTGGATTTGTTTGTGGCCGATCTCAAAGCCTTGGATGCATATGTTAGCTATTTCTACTCTCTGTCTAAGATGTGGACAAGGCCCCTTCCTGAGGTCTATGATCCACAAGAAGTTGCTGACTATTTCAGTCGCAGACCTCATGTAGTGGCCTTTCGACTTATTGAGGTAGTTTTAAAATTATTCAAATTCTAAATAATTATCTATTTTTTATTTTCCTCTTAACTTGAACGTTGGTAGATTTTAAGCTGTTATTTATCTTGTACCAAATTTAATTTGACTTGTTATATGAATATTAAACTGCTGATTTACAAATTCTTCAGAAAAGTCCATATCCTTCACTTTTATCAATAGATATTTTGGTGAGCTGCGGGGTTGTTTGCATTGTCTTTCTGCTTGCCATTTAGGATGGATCTCTTTATTGGCTATATATTTTGACGTTTTCATTGAAATATTTTCTCTGAAAGCTTATGGCTTGTCTTTTCCTTAAGAGAGGAATTTGAGATAACATTTTGAAAATTCATATATTAACACCTGGGTGATACTTGAGCACAGCCTTGACTACCAACTAAATGAGTTCAGTGGTTTGTGAAACAGAAACATGTTACATAAGTGGAATTTGGGGCCATCAAGATTAGTTGGTTTACACTAGCTCTAATGTCTGCATGACGTGTTGTGAAACATTTCTGATCAACAAGGGCGAAGCTATGTGTGGGTCACGGGGTCTTTCGACNTCATATATTAACACCTGGGTGATACTTGAGCAAAGCCTTGACTACCAACTAAATGAGTTCAGTGGTTTGTGAAACAGAAACATGTTACATAAGTGGAATTTGGGGCCATCAAGATTAGTTGTTTTACACTAGCTCTAATGTCTGCATGACGTGTTGTGAAACATTTCTGATCAACGAGGGCGAAGCTATGTGTGGGTCACGGGGTCTTTCGACCACCCCCAATTTTTTGGTTTAAAAATTATATGTAGATTATATATGAAGTATTTTTGAAATATATATGATTGTGCTAGTAAAAAGAGCTTGTATCCCACAACGATTGATTAGGACCACCCACGGTTGGTTTATATGCTCAAGGGTTTAGGGCTCATTGTTAATTAGTTTTGAGTTGAATACTCTAATATGATATTATAGCTATTATAGCTAGGCCTTGGATAGTCAGAGGCAAATATCTGATCCATTTGAATATTCTGGTATACATATTTATCTATTTGTTTGTTAGGACGGTTGGGTCCCTGACTCGCAGGTGAGGGAAGGTATAAAGACAATTTGTATCACACATCGAATGTTTAGAACTACCACATGTTGGTTTATATGTTTAAGGTGCCTATCCATTCTTTTCCAATTGGTTTTGGGTTGTATGCTCTAACAATGCCNTCTGGTATACATATTTATCTATTTGTTTGTTAGGACGGTTGGGTCCCTGACCCGCAGGTGAGGGAAGGTATAAAGACAATTTGTATCACACATCGAATGTTTAGAACTACCACATGTTGGTTTATATGTTTAAGGTGTCTATCCATTCTTTTCCAATTGGTTTTGGGTTGTATGCTCTAACAATGCCCACCTTATAACTTTTGGATAGACCCATACCTAATTCCTAAGAACATATTAAGAACACACTTCAAACAAGTACATGTAAGATTAAACACATTGTGGTCCTTTTGTAAGTTTTAAAAAAAACAATTACAAGATCATTTTGTTATTGTATAAATTTTGGAGTTATTGTGCAACAAAATATAGGTTCATTTTGTAAGGTACCTTTTAGTAACACTTTTGAAATTATTGGTATTGCTTTTTTAAAGTAGCAATTGTTTTTGCATTTTTGCTTTCTTGTTTTTCGTTGTCGTAAGTTACTTACTTTTTCCAACCATAATCACATATATAATAGTATACAATGCACGCATAACGAGTATAATTTATGTACTAAATTCATCTAGATCACTTTTTGGTGAAATTGCTTGTTTTGTGGAAAAAAATTTCTGAAAAGAAGCATTACCAATTGATACCTAAATATATAAAAATCATATTCATGACTAAAAGTGGAAAAATATTTATACTTATAAAACACATATAAACATCTTCATCTGATGAGATTATATCCATATAAGAAATTGAGGGAGGAACTAAGAGAGTTAGAGAGAAATCAAGAAAGAAGAAAATGCGATCTACGATTGTACTACTCTTTGGTGCCTCTGGCGAGCTGTTGCTTTTATTTGAGGTTCGGTGTGCTGGCAACAACATTACCTTTGGTTTTGAGATAAATTTTAAACTTTGCTTTCATGCTTCAATATTGTTTTTCTGATAATATGAGCTGCGATTGACCATAAATTGAATGTTTAGTATTTTTTATTATGTTAGGATTTTTGGCGATTAGCCTTGATTTGGCATTTTTACAATTTTTTTAGTTGTGTTCTTAATTTGAACACGATTAACAACTATTTTCTTCCAATTGGCCTCTAAGTAAATAAATATAAATTTGTTTGTTTTAATGAGAAATAAATTGGACAAAATTTACTTTAAGTCCATGTGGTTAGGCCAATTTGTACACCACTCCCTCACCTTCTAAAATGGCACACAACCCTCCTGTGATTTGTGGACCGAAGTGCTCATCCATGGATAAACTCCTGGCTCTGCCCTTGTTGGTTAACTTGGTGTTTATTATGTTAACAGGTTTAGTAAGATGCTTTATTATAGTACACCCACATTTGATTGATAATGTCATATTTTGGAAGGTGTTTGCCTCCTTTGCTTCGGCCGTTTTCAGAATTCGAGCTTCAGCTGTCCGTAGGTCATATAGGTCAAGTGCCAATAATGATGTTGATAAGAACGGTTCCCAGTACAATTTTGGGATGGTGCTGAAAGAAACAATGCTACACCTGGGCCCCACTTTTATCAAAGGTAAGGAATGCCAATAAACTAATATCAATTAAGGCATTAAGGTTACTTACCAATGGTTTAGACATTCTGTTTATTTTGCTAGTTTCAGTTATTTGGCTTCTCTTGTTTAGTGGTATTGTTCTGTAAATTTTAAGCTTGTGCTCTTTAAAATTTCCCTGCATTCAAAAGATTATGAATGTTCTATTTATATGCCTTTGCTTGTTGATGCAGTTGGTCAGTCACTTTCGACAAGGCCAGATATAATTGGCTCCGAAATTTCAAAGGTTAGATAAAACATGTATATTTATGAAGTTTTACCTTGGTCTGCAACATCCAGTGTATGTCGAGTTTCAAACACATTGTACTTATGATATAAAGGGTTTCGGCCGTGATTTTTAATCTTTGTTTCTTTGTTTCTTGTGTTATATTCATTGAGATATCACTGTCGTAAACTGTATTGTGTGTTAAATAGTTATCATCTTATGGTTGAGTAATGATGAGGAAGTATATGCTAATAATGCTCGTGTGTTGGAAGGATAAGAAAGCTTATAGGAGATTGGGTGTTGCACTGTGTTCTGGCCTGTTTTGCTTTAATAGATATGAGTTTACCTTTTTCCATACTGTTGCAGTGTGCACTTGTCTCAGTATTTTGCTTGTTTGTCCAAAATAGGTTGTAACTTTTGCTTTAGGATTAGTGATTGCTCATAACTTCAATGATTTTTGTACCTTATATATGCCCGAGTTTTGGAGAGTTCTTGGCAGTGAATGTGTGAGTATATGTACTTTTACATTGTGTTTTATTTTTCATTTTCGGTTTTAGTTATGATTGCAGGCATTGTCTGAGCTGCATGATCAAATCCCTCCTTTTCCCCAAACTGTGGCTATGAAGATCATTGAGGAAGAGTTAGGATATCCTGTAGAAACATTCTTTAGCTACCTCTCTGCAGAACCTGTTGCTGCAGCTTCATTTGGTCAGGTAGCTTTTTTTTTTTATTTCTTTTGTTGAAATTCAAATTATTATTAGCTTGTAGTTTTGCATATAAATTTGCTTTCGGTAAATCCCGACGGAAAAGTTGTTTTTACTTGTATGTCTATATATGTGTCTTATCCTATCTCTGGCACAAAACCAGGTCTATAGGGGAAGTACCCATGATGGTTTCAGTGTTGCCGTGAAAGTGCAACGTCCAAATTTGCATCACGTGGTAGTTCGTGATGTCTATATTCTTCGCCTTGGGGTTTGTATCAATCTTCACCTATTTTGTTTCATCATTTATCTGAGGCTCAAGTGCTTGCATAACTTAGTAGGCTATTGTTCTAGCTGTGGCTGTTGCAAAAGATTGCAAAAAGGAAAAGTGATCTTCGCCTTTATGCTGATGAGCTTGGGAAAGGCTTAGTTGGGGAGTTGGACTACACTTTGGAGGCTGAAAACGCTTCAGAGTTCAGGGTACCCATTTGACTTCTAGGCCTTTTTAATTGCTTTTTGCTATGGATATCCGTGGAAGTTATAGGAATTACCACCAAATTTTCCTTGGGCTCAAAAGTCCATTTCAGCTTACTTCTGTACAAATGTAAATAGTTACTTCTTTTGAGATAACTGACACTTTTGGGGGGCCTTGACCGGGTAATGGCCTTCAATCGTTGGATAAATGCAATATTACACGTGTTTGCATTCATGCCTATATCACAAGAGGCTTGGACTTGCACACTGCCGGCTATTGTATTCATGGAAGTCAAAGGCTATTGGCTAACAACTGATGAAAACTGATGATACATAAGGTCTATGGAGGCTATTTCATAAATGTCTATTTGGTGATACCACTTGAAATTGTGGTTCGAAATTTTAGGCATGTTCTTAATTTTATTTCACTTGAGATAAATGTGAGTAAAAAGGATACAAACTAAGTGTAGAGCCCCATATATATAGCCAATGAAAGTTATAATAAGGATAAAAATGTAAAAAAGAAAACTTAATAAGCCCTAATAAACTAGGCTGCTGCTATATCTCCAACACTCCCCCTCAAGTTAGGCGCAAAAATGTCAACTAAGTCAAACTTGACAACAGAGTTCCTAAGAATGGATAGAGTGACAGGTTTGGTAAAAACATCTGCAACTTGATCACTGATCCTCACAAACGATGGAGTGACAATACCACTGCTAACCTTCTCCCGAAGAAAGTAAACATCGATCTCTATATGCTTCGTCCGCTCGTGTAATACAGAGTCAGAAGCAAGCTGAATAGCAGATCGATTATCATAATATAATGTAGATGAAGAAGTCACTGAAAATTCCAACTCGTCAAGAATCGATCGTAGCCAGATAATCTCACATGTGCCAAGTGCCACTGCCCGATACTCTGCCTCTGCTGACGAGTGAGAGACCACTGACTGCTTCTTGCTCTTTCAAGAGATAAGATGAGTCCCTCGAAAAGCACAGAAACCTGTAGTAGATCGACCGTCACATGCTTCTCCATAATCTGAATCTAAATAACAGACTAGAGAACCAGTCTGAGATCCTNTTGCTTTCGGTAAATCCCGACGGAAAAGTTGTTTTTACTTGTATGTCTATATATGTGTCTTATCCTATCTCTGGCACAAAACCAGGTCTATAGGGGAAGTACCCATGATGGTTTCAGTGTTGCCGTGAAAGTGCAACGTCCAAATTTGCATCACGTGGTAGTTCGTGATGTCTATATTCTTCGCCTTGGGGTTTGTATCAATCTTCACCTATTTTGTTTCATCATTTATCTGAGGCTCAAGTGCTTGCATAACTTAGTAGGCTATTGTTCTAGCTGTGGCTGTTGCAAAAGATTGCAAAAAGGAAAAGTGATCTTCGCCTTTATGCTGATGAGCTTGGGAAAGGCTTAGTTGGGGAGTTGGACTACACTTTGGAGGCTGAAAACGCTTCAGAGTTCAGGGTACCCATTTGACTTCTAGGCCTTTTTAATTGCTTTTTGCTATGGATATCCGTGGAAGTTATAGGAATTACCACCAAATTTTCCTTGGGCTCAAAAGTCCATTTCAGCTTACTTCTGTACAAATGTAAATAGTTACTTCTTTTGAGATAACTGACACTTTTGGGGGGCCTTGACCGGGTAGTGGCCTTCAATCGTTGGATAAATGCAATATTACACGTGTTTGCATTCATGCCTATATCACAAGAGGCTTGGACTTGCACACTGCCGGCTATTGTATTCATGGAAGTCAAAGGCTATTGGCTAACAACTGATGAAAACTTATGATACAGAAGGTCTATGGAGGCTATTTCATAAATGTCTATTTGGTGATACCACTTGAAATTGTGGTTCTAAATTTCAGGCATGTTCTTAATTTTATTTCACTTGAGATAAATGTGAGTAAAAAGGATACAAATTAAGTGTAGAGCCCCATATATATAGCCAATGAAAGTTATAATAAGGATAAAAATGTAAAAAAGAAAACTTAATAAGCCCTAATAAACTAGGCTGCTGCTATATCTCCAACACTCCCCCTCAAGTTAGGCGCAAAAATGTCAACTAAGTCAAACTTGACAACAGAGTTCCGAAGAATGGATAGAGTGACAGGTTTGGTAAAAACATCTGCAACTTGATCACTGATCCTCACAAACGATGGAGTGACAATACCACTGCTAACCTTCTCCCGAGGAAAGTAAACATCGATCTCTATATACTTCGTCCGCTCGTGTAATACAGAGTCAGAAGCAAGCTGAATAGCAGATCGATTATCATAATATAATGTAGATGAAGAAGTCACTGAAAATTCCAACTCGTCAAGAATCGATCGTAGCCAGATAATCTCACATGTGCCAAGTGCCATTGCCCGATACTCTGCCTCTGCTGACGAGTGAGAGACAACTGACTGCTTCTTGCTCTTTCAAGAGATAAGATGAGTCCCTCGAAAAGCACAGAAACCTGTAGTAGATCGACCGTCACATGCTTCTCCATAATTTGAATCTAAATAACAGGCTAGAGAACCAGTCTGAGATCTTGATGCATAGAGCAACCCAAGTCTAGGACAAGACTTGAGGTACCGAAGAATATGATAAACTGCATCAAGATGAGGCTGACATGGTCCGTGCAGGAACTGACTAACTCGGCTGACAGCGAATGAAATGTCTGGCCTAATGTTGGCTAGGTAGATAAGTCTACCTACCAACCTCTGATAGACAGACGGATCTTTTAACTCCTCACCTTCAGCAGTAAGCTTCAGGTTTGGAATCATAGTTGATGATGCCGGTTTGCACCCCAGTATCCCAGTGTCTGAGGGAGATCCAGAACATACTTTCTTTGAGAAAGAATAATACCTCTGCTGCTACGAGCAACCTTAATCCCAAGAAAGTATCGCAAAAATTCAAGGTCTTTCATATCGAAGGCGTTCCCAAGGTCTACCTTGACCTGTGCAGTCCCAGAAATATCATCTCCAACAATAATAATATCATCAACATATACCAAAAGGATGACACACTGTTCAGAAATATTCCGTCGAATGAAGTAGGTATGATCAGAATGACATCTGGTGAACCCTAAACGTACAACTACATCACTAAAGCGAGAGAATCAGGCTCGTGCTGATTGTTTCAGTCCATAAAGAGACTTACGCAGTCAACATACCTTTTCAGCATACTCCTCCTCACCACGAAAGTTCGGTGATGCATTCATGTAAATAATCTCGTCCAGATCACCGTGAAGAAATGCATTCTTCACATCTAACTGATGAAGAAGCCAAGAGTACTCTGCAGCCAGAGAAATAATCAGTCGAACAGTAGTCAATTTTGCCACGGGGGCAAAGATAGCACCAAAATCACGACCTGGTACCTAAGTAAAGCTATTCGCCACAAGTACAGCCTTGTAACGATCAATAGTACCATCTGCAAGAAACTTCAGGGTGTAAACCCAGTGACAGCTAACAGGCTTCACCCCTAAAGGTAAAGAGACAAGATTCCACGTATGATTACGCTGAAGAGCGTCTATCTCTGTCTGCATGGCAATAACCCACTGGGGCTCTTGCATAGCCTCTGAAATAGAGCGAGGAACTGGCGTGTCTGATAAGGCCATACTATAAGTCCGAAATGTAGGAGATAGATCACCATAAGAAACATAAGCAGAGATCGAGTATAAAATCTTGGCAGTCCAACCATAATGAACAATTGGACGACGATCACGCCGCGGAACGACGCTCTAAATCATCATCCTCCACTAACAATGTCTCATTAGGTAAAACAACTGGCTCAGTACCTGCAATCTCATCAGTACTAACAACAGGTACATCAATATGCTCAACAAACTGAGAAGTATTATTTGCATCGCTTGAGATAGAGGGGACATTAGCAGGGGGATGAGAGCGAGGGCGACGAACATAAACCTGTAAAGGAAGAGAGGCCGGTGACTCTGTACCAGCGATGAGTGGCTCTGGAGGAGGAGAGACCGATGACTCTATAGTGATAGTGACCAATGGCTTTGGCTCTGGCTCCAGGGGTAATGGAAAATCAAAGAAAGTATTANGAGAGACCGATGACTCTATAGTGATAGTGACCAATGGCTTTGGCTCTGGCTCCAGGGGTAATGAAAAATCAAAGAAAGTATTATCAACTGGAGGGGCAGACACAGGACTGGAAGAAAAATAAGGAATATGCTCAAGAAAGGTAACATCTAGACTGTGATACATACGACGCCTAACAGGATCATAACACCGATACCCCTTAGACTGATTGCAATAGCTCACAAAGACAACGAATTGCTTTGTCATCAAGCTTATGACGAGTAGGAGACCGATCCTGAATAAAACATGTGCATCCNATTGTTTCAGTCCATAAAGAGACTTACGCAGTCAACATACCTTTTCAGCATACTCCCCCTCACCACGAAAGTCCGGTGATGCATTCATGTAAATAATCTCGTCTAGATCATCGTGAAGAAATGCATTCTTCACATCTAACTGATGAAGANACCTGTAAAAGAGCCCTATGCTAAAGAACACGACTCGGCGTACGATTGCACAGAAAGGTAGAAGTCAAAACAGCAAAATACCAATAAAATTTTGGCACTCCCATGCCTCTAAGCATACAACGTACCATCCCTATCAGACTCTTTTTTTTCCTTTCAGCAACGCCATTTTGCTCAGAANTCTGCAGCCAGAGAAATAATCAGTCGAACAGTAGTCAATTTTGCCACGGGGGCAAAAATAGCACCAAAATCACGACTTGGTAACTAAGTAAAGCTATTCGCCACAAGCACAGTCTTGTAACGATCAATAGTACCATCCGCAAGAAACTTCAGGGTGTAAACCCAGTGACAGCTAACAGGCTTCACCCCTGAAGGTAAAGAGACAAGATTCCACGTATGATTACGCTGAAGAGCGTCCATCTCTGTCTGCATGGCAAGAACTCACTGAGGCTCTTGCATAGCCTCTGAAATAGAGCGAGGAACCGGCGTGTCTGATAAGGCCATACTATAAGTCCGAAATGTAGGAGATAGATCACCATAAGAAACATAAGCAGATATCGAGTATAAAATCTTGGCAGTCCAACCATAATGAACAATTGGACGACGATCACGCCGCGGAACGACGCTCTAAATCATCATCCTCCACTAACAATGTCTCATTAGGTAAAACAACTGGCTCAGTACCTGCAATCTCATCAGTACTAACAACAGGTACATCAATATGCTCAACAAACTGAGAAGTATTATTTGCATCGCTTGAGATAGAGGGGACATTAGCAGGGGGATGAGAGCGAGGGCGACGAACATAAACCTGTAAAGGAAGAGAGGCCGGTGACTCTGTACCAGCGATGAGTGGCTCTGGAGGAGGAGAGACCGATGACTCTATAGTGATAGTGACCAATGGCTTTGGCTCTGGCTCCAGGGGTAATGGAAAATCAAAGAAAGTATTATCAACTGGAGGGGCAGACACAGGACTGGAAGAAAAATAAGGAATATGCTCAAGAAAGGTAACATCTAGACTGTGATACATACGACGCCTAACAGGATCATAACACCGATACCCCTTAGACTGATTGCAATAGCTCACAAAGACAACGAATTGCTTTGTCATCAAGCTTATGACGAGTAGGAGACCGATCCTGAATAAAACATGTGCATCCAAAAACATGAGGGGGGATCGAAAAAAGTGTTCGCTTAGGAAATAAAACCTGTAAGGGAGCCCTATGCTAAAGAATACGACTCGGCGTACGATTGCACAGAAAGGTATAAGTCAAAACAGCAAAACACCAATAAAATTTTGGTACTCCCATGCCTCTAAGCATATAACGTACCATCCCTATCAGACTCCTTTNCCAAAAACATGAGGGGGGATCGAAAAAAGTGTTCGCTTAGGAAATAAAACCTGTAAAAGAGCCCTNTAATTATAGTGAGTATTAAATGTAATTACAGTGGGTATTAAATATAATTATAATGGAGTATTAAATATAATTATTCATAATGAACAGAATATATCACTNTTTTTTTCCTTTCAGCAACGTCATTTTGCTCAGAAGTATATGGACAAGTGAGTTGCTAAATGATACTTTGAGAAGAAAGGTGAGACACTAAGGCATCAGACATATATTTCTTGGCATTATCTAAACGAAGAGTACGAACAATGACATCGAATTGTGTTTTAATCATCTGTAAAAATTGAGTGATTATAGGGAGTACATCGGACTTCCTATGCAAANTATATGGACAAGTGAGTTGCTAAATGATACTTTGAGAAGAAAGGTGAGACACTAAGGCATCAGACATATATTTCTTGGCATTATCTAAACGAAGAGTACGAACAATGACATCGAATTGTGTTTTAATCATCTATAAAAACTGAGTGATTATAGGGAGTACATCGGACTTCCTATGCAAAAGGTAGATCCAATTNTCCGAAACGTTTCGGACGTTTCGGACGTGTCGACACGACATTTTGATCCTTGGCAAAAGGTAGATCCAAGTATAACGGGTATGGTCATCTATAAATGTCACATAGTATCGGGCACCTGATAGAGCAGTAACAGGAGAGGGTCCCCAAATATCAGAGTGTATTAGGTCAAATGGCCTGGGTGACTGGTGTATGCGAGGAATATAACTGGTCCTAACATGTTTTGATAGGGAACATATAACACAGTCAAGTTTACCACCAACACAAGCATTACTCAAAGCAGGAAACAACATACATAAATATTTAAAATTTGTATGTCCAAAATGGTCATACCACAACTGAACAGTTTGTGACGAAAAATCATAACGACGATTACTAGGTAAAGTACTAGCATACAAGCTAGAAACAGATAAAGATAAAGCAGGTTCAGGTGATGTAGGTGGAGGAACTGGAGGCGGATCGCCTAGAAAATACAGTCCATCTCTCTCATGTCCCCTGATAATAATCCTCCTGGTACTCAGGTCTTGCAAATAACACGAATCAGATAAGAACACAACCGCACAGTAAAAATTTCTGGCTAACTGACATACAAATAATAGATTCATGACCAACTTTGGCGCATAAAAAACCGAATGTAATGTAAAGTCATTTGAGCGGCGGACTGTACCCCTACTAACAATAGGGGCATGTGTCCCATCTGTTAACTGAACGTGTGTATGTTACTGCTCGTCAAAAGTGGTGAAGTGATGGGTTTCACTTGTCATGTGACCATTCGCACCTGAGTCTGGCATTCAAAGGGGAGACGGACTGGTACAAGCATGAAAGGCACGCGGTTTACTTGTAGTGGTGGCTGTAGTAGTAGTCAAACTCTGAGAAGTCAGAGCGGACATAAGTATATCCAATCGGGAAGTGATAGCATCCATTTCACTCTGCCAAGGAGGAGCAGTAGCGGTAGTAGATAGTGGTACCTCAGCAATAGCAATAGTACGACCACGAGGAGGTGGCTTAAGCTCTGGATGGAGCTTCCAGCAAGCAGCCCTGAGATGTCCTGGTCGGCTACAATAATCACACTGACGAGAATTCCCCTGTCTGCGCTGATCTGGGGCCACCCTGACGGCGTTGGTCCGAGTGCTGCCCATCCTTGAGGATCCTGAACGAGACCCTGCAGCTACTATAAGGGTCATATGATCAGCTGGAGGAGTCAAGGCCGCAACTGGAAGTGATGCAATACGGACGCGGCGCTCATGCTGCTCAATCATCACATATACCTCATAAAGAGAAGGAAGCGTCAACATCGATAAGATATGGGAACGAGGTCCCTCAAACTCATCACGAAGTCNTGAACGAGACCCTGCAGCTACTGTAAGGGTCATATGATCAGCTGGAGGAGTCAAGGCCGCAACTGGAAGTGATGCAATATGGACGCGGCGCTCATGCTGCTCAATCATCACATATACCATAAAGAGAAGGAAGCGTCAACATCGATAAGATATGGGAACGAGGTCCCTCAAACTCATCACGAAGTCTCATAAGGAACTTGTGAATCCTATCCTCCTGTTCTCGAGTATACAAGAATGTTGCTCCCTCGGGCTCTATTCTCGGAATAGCAGCCAGAGGACGTAGAGTCTCATACTCAAGCCAGCGTTAGGTCAAATAACCATAATAATCCTGAACAGTCATATCTCCTTGCCGTGCATATAAGAGCTCCTGAGAAAGCTTATAAACATGAACTTTCTGTCCTGATTGGGAATACATCTATGATAATGCGCTCCATAATTTTGGAACAGAGCTATAAAACTGGTGTATCTTGCAAACAGATGGCTCCATTGAACCAAATAACCATCCAAGAATAGCGCAGTTCTCAGAGAATCACGCAGAATATCCAGGGTTGGCATCAGCTGGCTTTGGGTGAGATTCCGTCAGCCAACCAAGCTTCCCGACACGGTCCAAGAAAAGCTAGAATGAACGTGACCACTCAACAAAGTTACGACCATTCAACAATTGTGCCGTAACCTTCTGAGAGATCATTCCCGGTATTGCCGGTAAAATAACTGTGCCAGTAGATACTGTGTACTGGTCAAACATAAAAGTAGGAGAAGCAGGCAGTACATGCCCGATGGAAGTATTAATAGAAGCCTCAACAATAGAGGTCTCTACGGTAAGAGTCTCTAGTCCCTCAGTAGTAGCAATGACAACAATAATACGTGGGCATCCGTGATAGAAAAAACAACTCTAAAAATTAGAGGGATAAAATAAGGGAGAATAATATACCTCTAGTCGAACAGTAGCGACAGATAAAGAAAGTATAGAAAGCTTCAAAATAATCAAGTCACGGTGCCCAGAAATCTAGTAAATATAAATAAATGATCTATTGCATCAAGAGCATGTCAGCGAAGAAGAGGATTCAACCCCTCTTAAAAGGTCCTACGATCCTGTAACTTGACAACACTGTGACGAAGAGTGCGAAGGACGAAGGTACAATGAAAAACGCGATCTTATAGGATGCTGAAGGTAATGGGCAGTGGAGTTACCATTGGTGTATTGGGTAGTTGTCGGCTGGAGTTGGGAGCAATCGGCTTTGGGTCATAGGTTTGTTCGGTTCTATTCGGCTGGGTTTGATGGTGTATGGTGTATGGGCAGTCAGTTTTGATGGTGGACTGATATGGGTTTATCGTTATTTTGCTTGGGCAGTCGGTGAGTTATTTTGTCGGCTGGGTTTATTGGGTCTGGTGTAACGGGCTGAAGGTAATGTACTTGGTGCTTGGATGCTTGGGCAGTCGGTGGGATTTGTCTCTTTGAGTTTTATGCTGGTCGGTGGATGCTTGGGCAAAAGGATCTTGGTTTTGTCTTGGTTTTGTGGTCAGTCGGTGGCAGAGGGTGCTGGTTTGCTGGTTTATATGGAGTTGTAGGCTGAGTTGCAGGCTGTTTTGTCGACTGGACTGTTTCGCTGGGAAAGATGTCACTGGTTGGCCTGTGGTAATGGCGACAACGTGGAGGAGGGGCTAGGGTTAGGGTTAGGGTTTGACTCTGATACCAACTTGAGATAAATGTGAGTAAAAGAGATACAAACTAAATGTAGAGCCTCNGGCCTGTGGTAATGGCGACAACGTGGAGGAGGGGCTAGGGTTAGGGTTAGGGTTTGGCTCTGATACCAACTTGAGATAAATGTGAGTAAAAGGGATACAAACTAAATGTAGAGCCTCATATATATAGCCAATAAAAGTTACAATAAGGATAAAAAGGTAAAAATAGAAAACTTAATAAGCCTTAATAAACTAGGCTACTGCTATATCTCCAACAATTTCTTCAATGTAAACATATTTACTTAGGCTTTTAATCTTCAGTATTTGGCAGTTCGTACAGCCACACCCACCCACACACAAAACATACCTTTGAAAAGCTTGGCCAGTCACAATGTTCATCGGATCATTTGCATCATGCAAATGATTTTAGAAAAGAAAAATAACACATAATATTGGGGGCTCTCTTGTTATGACTCGCCGAGGACAGTTGCTTCTATGGCCTTTTTAATTTCCACAATTAAATGCCGTGGCCTCTCACCAACTATTGATATCTTTGTGCGCAGGAGGCTCATTCCCCTTTTCCATTTATTCGTGTTCCAAAAGTTCTTCGACATTTGAGTCGGAAGAGAGTTCTGACAATGGAGTGGATTGTTGGCGAGAATCCAAATGATTTACTCTTCATAGCTACTAAAGAGCCGATTGATCATGGCTCTAGACATTCAGAGAAGCGGCAAAGTGATGCTAAAATGCGACTTCTTGATCTGGTGTGTTCTATGATACATTGTCTTTACCTTCTGTTCTTTCTTGTTGATCCATGTTATGAAGTTTACTGTGAAGTTTATTGGGTTGTGGAATGTGATTAAGATTCTAAAAAGTATATCAATTACAATCCTTTAGATTGGTACATTAGTGGAAGGTAGCACCCTTAAAGGGAAAAAGGAATGAGAGCCTGGTAGTGAGAATATGATGGACTACAAAAGACAAAAGATACTGTCTGTAGAGAGTGCATTGCTGTTTCCAACTGGCTGCAAGTAAGTACATATGGTAANAGTATATCAATTACAATCCTTTAGATTGGTACATTAGTGGAAGGTAGCACCCTTAATGAGAGCCTGGTAGTGAGAATATGATGGACTACAAAAGACAAAAGATACTGTCTGTAGAGAGTGCATTGCTGGTTCCAACTGGCTGCAAGTAAGTACATATGGTAACATTTAGAGAATATTGTGAAGGTGGTTTTCTTTGTAGGAAATTCATACATTTGAAATGGACAACTATTATGATCCGTCAATTTTCCTTTATTCATGATTTTTTCGATTGGTTTGTCTATTTAGAAAATAAATAGCAGTTCTATCTATCAATATATATGGTCTTGGATCATCACTATTGATTTTTTTTTGGAATTCGGCTACTTAAGGCTTTGCATTATTTGAGATTGATATTGGCCAAAGATGTATTACCAAAAAACTTTTTTTAATCAGTTGGAGTGGATCAAGTTGATGCAACAGAGGAATCTAGCCTAGAGAGGCTCTTCATGTGGTTAAAGTTTCTTGTGCTTTAACTTTCCAGGTTAACAAAGGAGTTGAGGCTTCACTAGTTCAGCTCCTTGAAACTGGTTTGTTGCATGCTGATCCTCATCCTGGAAACTTGCGTTACACATCATCAGGACATATAGGGTACACCCATTTACTGTTTTTTTCACCATTTTCTTCTCTGATTGTAATTGGAGACCTTGACATACATATGGTTAAAGCCCACCTCTCACCAATTTGGACTAGGTTTTTGGACTTTGGATTGCTTTGTCGAATGGAAAGGAGGCATCAGTTGGCCATGCTTGCGGCCATAGTGCACATAGTAAATGCGGATTGGGCATCTCTTGTTCATGCTCTGACTGAAATGGACGTCGGAAGACCAGGAACTAACATCCGCCGTTTTACCATGGTAACATCTGTTATTACTATCTATACGTCTATATATTGCACTTTTGGGATGTCACTTGTTCCCTTGCAGATTTGTGCTATAGAATGATACTCTTTTCATTCACACTGTCAAACTCCCATTGGTTCAACTTATTCTTTAGTGACAATGGTGGTTCAGGATTTGGAAGATGCCTTGGGAGAAGTGGAATACACAGATGGAATTCCTGATGTCAAGTTTAGTCTGGTGAGAGTCATATCCTTGTGATGCTACTTGTTAGAAGTTCTTGTTCTTATTCTTGCTGACATGACCTTGAAGGCAATACTGTATGTTGACTGGGATTCATAGTGACTTTCAGTTCAGTTCCACAAAACTCTGTTTTTGAGTTTACTTGTGAAACCATTAGCCTCTTCAGATAAGAGAATCTGGTGTTCAATACACTGTCAGATTCCAGTACCGTTTTGGGGATTTAACATCGAAGACTTCTTGAAACAAGGTCTACCTTGTTACACGGTCATTTTAATGGTTAGCCTAGAAGGGAATGATGATCACCCACATTTATCCTCAAGAACATCAGTGATCGTTATATGTGATTCTCATCATCTCATTGGGTCTCTAGTTTTTAAGAGATCATGTATGGTCAGAGCGAGATTTTATGTGTTGCCACATATTCTATGGAATATCTTATTAAGAACTTCTTGGAAGAAAAATGTGAAAGAAAATAACACTTTCATTTTGTGCGGTTGACTTGGTCGAAGGAAGTACAATTCAGGTTGCCCTTCTTTCGATTTTTATATATTTTAATTCTTTCGTTGCTTTCTCCCGATTCTAGGGTTTTGCAACAGAAAATACTTCCTGGGAATATTTTGTTTAAGAAATGTAGATCTTCCAATGCAAAGATATATGTCATAGTATTGTAGAAAATGCTAATGGTGCGATAAATTTTGTAGTAAACATTCTTGGGTAAATGCTGCCTTAAAGTAACTTTCTTTCATAGAAACTTGTATGGAAAGCATACGCGTAAAAACAGTTCAGCCTTAAAGTAACATTCTTTCATAGAAACACGCACGTAAAAAATAGTTTTGCTTGTCAGTTATAAGTTCATAAATTTCAATATCTTGTTGCTTCATATTCGCAAGTATGTTTTTGATTGTTATAATACTTGTTTTTTAGGTTCTGGGGAAAATATGGTCTGTAGCCCTCAAGTATCATTTCCGCATGCCACCGTACTATACACTTGTCCTACGCTCTCTTGCTTCCTTGGAAGGTAGATTATCTCACTAACTTCTAAATTTCTGCTTGCTCCAGTTTTTTAGGCATGAAAGAAATCTAAAACTTTATGGACTTCATTGTGGGTCTTTGTCTTCCATTGTCAACCTGGAATGATTCTTTCTTCGTGCTCTTTTCATTTTATAGGATTAATAAAGCTCATATATCTTTTATTCAAACAATGTTTTATTGCTATATGGGGTTTGCCTCGCTGACATAAACTGTTAAGTTATGAAGCAATAACATAGATCAAATTTTTGGCAAGGAAGTGGTGGGTTAAGCGAGAATGAAAATATCCAGAAGATTTGCTTGTGAGGCTGGCTGTCAGTCAGTATAGTCGAGCATAGTTCAGATGGCCCACCCTCAGAAGTCTATTTCTTTTCCACGCAACCGGNTCAAATTTTTGGCAAGGAAGTGGTGGGTTAAGCGAGAATGAAAATATCCAGAAGATGTGCTTGTGAGGCTGGCTGTCAGTCAGTATAGTCGAGCATAGTTCAGATGGCCCACCCTCAGAGAAGTCTGTTTCTTTTCCACGCAACCAGCATCTTGTATAACTTTATATTATTTTTCAGATTAATCATCTTTTTCAGTGTCTAAACAAATGNTTTCTTTTCCACGCAACCGGCATCTTGTATAACTTTATATTATTTTTCAGATTAATCATCTTTTTCAGTGTCTAAACAAATGCATGTGCATGCATAGATTGTTAAGTTTTAAACACTCTCTTCTTGAGTTGAACACTAAGTGGAGAACCTATGCCCTTTCATTTTACAAAAAACATCAATACGATAAAGACAGCAAGGCAGGAAGGGCATTCTTTTGATGGCCTCTTCATTATAGCAGTGAAGTTGGAAAAGCCTCCATAGAAACTAGTATCAGAAAGCTGGGATCATGAATCTGATCTCCTATTTGATCTCTGATGTGAGAGAATGAATGTGAGCTGAAGTTGGGTTTTTTTTTTTTGAACAGAGAAGTAGGGTTTAAATTACCTATGCTTTCTGGACTAAATAGAAAGCCATTAAAAAAACAATGAGGGAGATTACATTATCTGAAATGATAGAAGGCAAGAGCAGTTCTTTTTTGCCACACTGCAGTATTGGACAAAATATACAAGGGTGTCCATAAAACCTGAGTAAATTTGAACTTTTATGAAAAAATGGGCAAAACGGTAATTTGTTACTACGGTACGAGTTACAAATCTGAATTTTTCTAGAGCTCGGATGACAAAACAGACTTCACCGTTGGATTCGTCTCGCGAAATCTAGCTATCTCGTCAATTTTCATTGAATTCTGAGATAGTCAAATTTTTTGCATTTTACGAGGCGATCGGGTTTTGNACTTTTATGAAAAAATGGGCAAAACGGTAATTTGTTACTACGGTACGAGTTACAAACCTGAATTTTTCTAGAGCTCGGATGACAAAACGGACCTCACCGTTGGATTCGTCTCGCGAAATCTAGCTATCTCGTCAATTTTCATTGAATTCTGAGATAGTCGAATTTTTTGCATTTTACGAGGCGATCGGGTTTTGGGTGACCTAAAAACGAATTTTTGAATAAAATATTAAAAGTTGAAAAATAATTTTAAGTAAGTTGAAATAAAAATATATTGAACTTGAAGCAGGGTGAAATTTAATCGTTTTGGGTCAAACCTGAAACCGAAAGTGGAAACCTGTGTGGCGCGATGAAGACCTAGTATTTGGGGAGTATAAAAAGGGTATAAATCAGATTTCTTTCCCACAAATCTGCTGGTTCTTCAACATTGGAGAGAAAGAGAGAAACCCAACCTTCTCTCTATAATCTACGGCCCTACGGTGCTCGAATCAACACGAGCCAAGAATCAAAGTTATTCTACTCGTCGAGAGCTACGCCTNAAGTGGAAACCTGTGTGGCGCGATGAAGACCTAGTATTTGGGGAGTATAAAAAGGGGAATAAATCAGATTTCTTTCCTACAAATCTGCTGGTTCTTCAACATTGGAGAGAAAGAGAGAAACCCAACCTTCTCTCCACAATCTACGGCCCTACGGTGCTCGAATCAACACGAGCCAAGAATCAAAGTTGTTCTACTCGTCGAGGGCTATGCTTACGTACCAAAAAAGAGCGAATTTCACCGAAGTTTTCGAGACAGAATTTTGGAGAAATCAAAGTTTGAGCTTGGGGGTATATTCTTGGAGTTTTCCAACGTTCTTTTACGCTTCAAGAGGTAGAATTTTCTCTATAATTAGGTTTATTTCCAACTTAAGGTGTTTATATGAGATGAGTAAGTTAATAGANAGAGCGAATTTCACCGAAGTTTTCGAGACAGAATTTTGGAGAAATCAAAGTTTGAGCTTGGGGGTATATTCTTGGAGTTTTTCAACGTTCTTTTACGCTTCAAGAGGTAGAATTTTCTCTATAATTAGGTTTATTTCGAACTTAAGGTGTTTATATGAGATGAGTAAGTTAATAAAAGTATATATCACTTGCCTATTGTTGTAAAGTGATGGAATTGGGTATTGAAAATGGGTAAATTTAATTCTAGTGTGAATTGGTGATTAGAAATTGTTAAATATGTAATTTTTTGGCAAAATGTTATTTGTGGACATGTTATGTATTTACATTATGCCTTGATAAATTTAGTGTGTTAATTGTATGATTATGTGATGATATGTTTGAAAATTGTGTTGAATGAAATGTTGATATATGCTTATGATATATTGACAATTGATGAATTATGAAAATTATATGGTTAGGATGTAATTATCCATGATATGTGTTGAAATTGTTCATATGACATTCATAACACATAGAACATGGTAATAGTCTTGTAATGGTGTATTACATTGCATTGGTACTGGAACTTCGCATTCGTGGAAATTGACATAGGTGTGGATGTGTGTGTGCATGTGTTGTCTCAAACACCATCCTTGGTGGGTGATAAGTGGGTTCGATACCGTTGGACTAATGTTCAACAGAGTCGCACGATTGCAAGAAAAAGAAAACTTGTGTCGGGTATAGCAGGATGGACTAGACACTCCCTCGGGTATAAGACTCAGTTACTGGTTTATATACTTCCGTCGGTGCAAGTCCAAAAAAGTGTATCGGTGTGCGGAACCGGCGGTGAGACACCAAAATTCTGCTATCCAACAAAGACATATGATTTTGTTTTATAAAGATATAGCCATTAAATGTGTAACATCAATGGTGGATTTATTACATATTGGCATTGTATTGTGTTGTAGGAGTCGGTGAAGGCTCGGGTTGAGTTGCTTGATTGAGTCTCATCTCATTTCATAGCATGACATAGTAAATTCCAATATTGAGTTTCATATTCTTGATTGAAATTGTTGTGGATGGTTGATTGTTGTATGTGAACATTTCATATGCATCTAGGTTGGGGAGTAGCCTTTTTAGGAGATATTCTATTGAGCGTGACTCACCATTTATAGGAAAATATTTTAGGTGCGGGGTTCACACAGGCGGACGGCTCCTAATTTGAGCCTCAAGGGTGAAGAAGGCCGACTAATGGCTTTTATGATTCATTTTGTATAACTTTTATGAAAATTCCATTTTAACATGTAAATATAAAAGAATTGTAATCGAACTCATATGGATTGTTTTAATGTAAAAATTGCATGTGGTTATATATGAGTATGGATAAATAGACCCGGTGTAGCCAATGTTTACTTATGAATGGACCCGGTGTGGTCAATGTTTACTCATAAATGAACCCGGTGAGGTCAATGTTGTATGATTGCACAGGTTGTGTTTTGGGTAGAGCCCGCCATACAAAAGAGATTTTGTCCGAATTTTGCTAAATTATGGACCCTGGGAAATGGGGCATAACGGCGTGATATCGAGTTACACGATATCCACGGGTATTTTGCGGGTTGATGGGTGATCAACGGTTGATAAAGGACCTCTGATTTTTTTTTTTGGGCGTCACAATGTCTTTCTCTACAGTATTGGTGTTATATTTGATCTTGATGAATTTTTTTTTTTTGGACTTTCCTATTTCTGATATATTTACTATTGTACTTTGGAATCCTTGCATGTCCAATTCATCTAATATTTACCTTGACAGCATATTATTTACTTCTGTTTATCTACTTTTCAGGACTGGCTATTGCGGCAGATCCAAATTTTAAGACGTTTGAAGCTGCTTACCCTTATGTTGTTCAGAAACTTCTCACTGATAATTCAGCTGCTACAAGAGGGATTTTACATTTGGTATATTTTTGTGTTATTTACCTTCATAATATCTTAGTTTTTCCTCACACTGGGCTGGTATTGTTAGAAACTTGAAAAAGTCAATGCGTCCCTTATTTTAATTGTTTAGATGGGAGGATAACTTACTAACATTGCATTGTAAGGGTCTTGCTATAAAGTTTGCTGGATTACCATTTTTGATGCATCTGCTCTTTATTCGTGGTTATTTTTGTTTACAATGGCTAGTTTTCTTCACATTACACCGGCGGTGATAGAAAAATTGGAAACTTTAATGCAACCTTTAGTTGTTTTTCCTTTTTTTTGGGTACGGGCACCTTAGTTTGATTGTTTAGATTTTGAGGATGAGAGTTGGTATGTCGCTGCAAGGCACAGAGCTCTTCAGTCAATGTGTTTCATTGGTGTCACCCAAATATAGCTTCTTCAACAGCTCTGATTTCCAACATCATTTCTTTTAAGTGCTGGGTAATGTACATAAATTTAGAGGTAGAAATCTATTTCCAAGATTAATATTTTTCCACCCTATTTCTGGTCACTTTGTCAACATTGGCTTTCTGGTATCATTTTTGATTTCCAACATCATTTCCTTTTAGTACTGGGTAATGTACATAAATTTAGACGTAAAAATGTACTTCCAACGTTAATTTTTTTCCACCGTATTTCTGGTCACTTTGTCCACATTGGCTTTCTGGTATCATTTTTCCTTACTGTCACCACTATCTGCAAGCTGGAAACTGGGGTTTTTGAACTTCTTAGACTGTCAGGAAGACCTAACATCAAGTTATTGGCATTTCTTCTTGTATGTTAATTTTAGTTGTTGTTCTTCAGGTGGTGTTCAACAGACAGAAAGAATTTCAATGGCGAAAGCTTGCTCTTCTCTTTAGATTAGGAGCAATGAGGTATGCTGATTAGTGTCCTTTTGCACTCAATATTGGCTAGTGAAGCTTATAATTTTGGTTCATCAGGGTTTCTTCCATCTTGTCCCCATTTGGATATCCAAAATTTATGCCAACTCACCAATCTAAATAATATAATCCATACCAACTCATATCCTCTTAAGAGCATCTTATTGTTATTTTATGAACATCATCTGAATTATTTCCTTTTAAATCTGACCCTCCCTAGATGTCGGAGTGATGGGAGCTTCGTGCACTAGGCCAAATTTTTTTTATTTGAATTATGTCCTCCTGTGCTCCCTATATGTAAAAGTACAGGCTGCTCAGATTGCCCAACTTCCTTGCAGGCTGATATTATCTCACTGAAGCATCCTCTAAGATGTTTCAACTTTCCTTGTCTTAGGTAAATGCATCTTATGGTAATTTCACTTCTTAGTTGCCCTACATCTACCTTAATAGGGCGTTGGTGATCGTATTTTTGATATTCTTTTGTGGGGTATCAAGTGAAATGGAGAAGTCTTAAATCAATAAAACATATGCTGTTAGATTGCAGCTTCATTCTTATTGGAAAAAAAAAAAAAAAGGTTGCAGCATCATTGGAAATGTTCCAATCCATTTTTTGTAACATATTGTTTGTGGCCCCATATGCTTGACCTAGTCGCCTTTTGCAAGTTATTACCCTAGACAATTTGTCAATTTAGCAAGTAATTTATTCAGTGTACCGATCTTACAAGAGACTTCTCATTGAGAGGAATCATTCAAATATTCCTTTCTTATTCAATTTTTGACGAGTCAATGAATCCATAATCAATAGAAGTAGATATGGGCTTAAAGTTACTGTTGTGCAAAGCTTATTATGAGAAGCTTTTCTATATCATATTAGTTTCTTCCCCTTTGCTCGGATGATCTTAGTATTGTCATGGGTATCATTCCTTCGTTCCTCTTGATTCTCAGATTTTTTTTTATTTGCATTTTGTTTCCTTTTGTTGAAAATGCATTTCATTTTCTTCAAACTAGCAATGCAACATGTGCGTTGCATGTGAAAGTTTTCGTTAAAATATTTAAGAAAATACATAAAAATTTAATTATATAGTTAAATTAGATATTATCTCATATTTATCATATGTAAATTGTTTGTATTGTGGATGAAGAGAGAAAAAAAAAAATATATATATATATATATATATACATTTTTTGGCTTCAGAGATAATATTGTATCAATGAAGTTGTCGATATGTAATATTTGGGGTTTTGAAAAAAAAGAATAATATTTTTATATATCCTATTAAAAGTACCATGACCATCTAAAAGTTTTGCAAAGATAGAGATTTATATAATATATTAGAGGTTAGTTTGTTATTTAAATATAGAGTGATATAATGGTAATCTGTACTTTTAAATATAAAATGACATGTTAGTTTTTATAATTTTTTATAAGGGCAAAATAGTAAATCAAAATTTTTTCATGTAAGATACTTTTGTTAGTAATATAGATGAACATCTCCTTCAATTATCTAGATTATGATATTGCAAGGCTTTGACTAAATGTTTGCATGTCCCTGCTCCATGGAACTAGGCTTGCAACCCATTAAGTGTGATTTAATATAATGGGAGAATTACACTCAAATCCCCTGACGTTTGTCTCTTAATCACTCAGACTCCCTAATATTTAAAATATTACATACAAGGTTTGTATGGGTGTAACACTTAGACCCCTGCCGTCAATATCCGTTAGTAAATTATATCTAAACCTCTTAAAGTTTGTAGAGTGTAATACTTAAACCCCTCAAGTTTAAAATGTNCGTTTGTCTCTTAATCACTCAGACTCCCTAATATTTAAAATATTACATACAAGGTTTGTATGAGTGTAACACTTAGACCCCTGCCGTCAATATCCGTTAGTAAATTATATCTAGACCTCTTAAAGTTTGTAGAGTGTAATACTTAAACCCCTCAAGTTTAAAATGTTATACTTAGACAAAAAATACTCCAATCAAAAATAGAATATCAAATATTTTAAATTTTACATCTAAAATTCATGTTCTATTATGAAATTTATTGAAATAAAATCAAAAATAAAAACCTAAATTTTTCTTAAAAAATTATAATTAGTATGTAATTATATTATATATTGGAATTTAATTTGGTCGTTTAAATAACTAAATTATCTCAATTAAAGTTAGAATTTATTGTGTCCATTATAGTTTGACCTCTTGTTTGATTCTTTAATTTTATTCCAATAGATATTATAATTATATATTAATTATGATTTTTTAAGAAAAATTTAGGTTTTTATTTTTGATTTTATTTAAATCAATGACATAATAGAACATGAATATAATTCATGTTCTGTTATGAATTACTTAGATCATTTGTTTGATTGTTTTTAGTTTTATTTCAATAAATAGTATAATTGTATATTAATTATGATTTTTTAAGAAAAATTGACTTTTATTTTAGATTTTATTTCAATAAATGATACAATAGATAATGAATTTTAGTTATAAAATTTAAAATATTTTATATTCTATATTTGATTTGAATATTTTTATTTTAAGTATAACATTTTAAACTTGAGGGGTGCAAGTATTATACACTTACAAATTTTAGGGAGTCTGGGTATAATTTACTAACGGCTTCACCCTTCACCCATATTCGATGCAGAGGCTTGTCTCATTCCCACTCCAATTAAAGCATCGGGCTTGTGGTAGTCCTCTATGGGATCAATTCCATTCCCATACGTTGTAGCTAGTAGAAATGCATTTTTGTATTCTTGGATCCAATCTAGAACGAATAGGAGATCTAATTATTTAGAATTAGCTCCTACTCCAACTCTTGTTTTTTTGGGAATCATTGCTAGGAAGAAGGATTGAATTGCAAGTGGTTTGCTCTTGTTAATTTTCTCTTTTCCAAAATGGATGGTGTGCAAAATCGCTTAGATTGAAAAGCAAGTCGATGATGCCATAAGTCAAATGTGCAGGTGAGGCGAGTCCTTCACTTCATACAGGTCCAAGTGTTATGTGCGTACAAATCTCAGGGGTTTGTGTGTAATATTTTAAATGTTAGGGGGCCTGAGTAATTAAGTGTTAAACCTCAAGGGGTCTAGATGTAATTCTCCCCAATAGAATATGATATAAACATTATTAGAAAATGAAGGAAAAACAAAAGAGAGCATGTGTATAGTGTCAAAATAGCTGGTGTCCAACATCAAATAATTAGGACCACCTTGATTTATATACTTGCAGACCACTTCACACATTGTCAATTGCTCTAACATGGTATCAAAGCTGGATCTTGAGTGGTTAGTGGGTCAAATCTCTTATCCATTTGAATTTTTTGGTATGCAAGGTTGTTTGTTTGTTTGTTCACCCAAGTGCGAGCCCGGGCCACATGAGAGAGGGTGATAAGAGAGCTTGTATCTTACATTGAATACTTAGTACTACCAAGGTTAGTTTATATATTTAAGGGGTCACTCCATCCATTGTCAATTGGTTTTGGGTTGAANGTATAGTGTCAAAATAGCTGGTGTCCAACATCAAATAATTAGGACCACCTTGATTTATATACTTGCAGACCACTTCACACATTGTCAATTGCTCTAACATGGTATCAAAGCTGGATCTTGAGTGGTTAGTGGGTCAAATCTCTTATCCATTTGAATTTTTTGGTATGCAAGGTTGTTTGTTTGTTTGTTCACCCAAGTGCGAGCCCGAGCCACATGAGAGAGGGTGATAAGAGAGCTTGTATCTTACATCGAATACTTAGTACTACCAAGGTTAGTTTATATATTTAAGGGGTCACTCCATCCATTGTCAACTGGTTTTGGGTTGAATGCTCTAACTACCCTGAATGTGTATCTCCAAATGAAGCCAAACCAATTTTAACGTTACAAGTACTATGGTTCTTGTTCACCCATTCATTCACAGTCTCCATAAAATCCATAGCTTGATAATTGACCCCACTTGTTGCAGCTTCAAACTCCTTTTTATTGCTCCGTATATGCACTAAAATATATCTGATTGTCATTCTGATGTAGTGGTGACAGAGACACAAAGAAATCACTTTTTCTTTATGTATAAAACAACCTCACACATACTTGAATCCATAGGAAAGCATAAGAGCAACATTATGATATAGATATTCTTGAATGAATATCGCTGATAGTAAACAAGGACAGTTTAAGAAAGTTAAAAGCCTTGAGTGTTCCCAAAACAGAATTAAAGCNTTGATAATTGACCCCACTTGTTGCAGCTTCAAACTCCTTTTTATTGCTCCGTATATGCACTAAAATATATCTGATTGTCATTCTGATGTAGTGGTGACAGAGACACAAAGAAATCACTTTTTCTTTATGTATAAAACAACCTCACACATACTTGAATCCATAGGAAAGCATAAGAGCAACATTATGATATAGATATTCTTGAATGAATATCGCTGATAGTAAACAAGGACAGTTTAAGAACGTTAAAAGCCTTGAGTGTTCCCAAAATAGAATTAAAACCCTAGTTGTATGACAATTACTAAAAATAAAGGATATTCATGAAATAATGGGAATTTCTAAACAGGAAACTTATTATTCTTAACTAAAACAAAATATTGTTATTAAAACAATAAAAATAACAAGAATATAATAAACAATCGTCAAGGTACTATTACTTGAAATGTGGTACGTCTCTGCATGTTTGCATTGGTCGTATACTTGAGATTATTTTTTTCCAAAACCCAAATCCACAAAACTATTAAACTCTCCTAGTAGCTTGTGTAGAACTCATGTAGCTCACACGCACAATCTTTATGTTGTGATTTTTCATTAATCTCCTATCGTTTTAATAAATCTTTCATCTTTGAAGGCTCAAATTATTTCACGATAGTGGGTAGTCGTGCGGCCTATCCTTTCTTAATTTTATCTTCAACTTTTCAATCAATGTTCGGTTTCCGTTATATCCCAAATATGTTTGTATACTCAAAATCCAACACTGATGGATTAGAATAATCTGAACCATTCATTTGATC